ATCCCTCTGTCATTATCTGAGTCAGTGTGGTTACTGTTCCCTGGAGTTCAGTTCAGTGATGATTCTGGTCTTGGTGAAAGCTCGGACCACAGTTGATATTGATTCTTAGCCCGGGCATCCACGATCTGTTGGCAGATCGTGGTGTAAGTCGCTCGGCGCTGTCTCTCTGTCTTGGTGAATGTGTGTTCTCCTTGATAATAGTCTTGAGTTTAAAGTGGGTGTTGTGAGCGTGTCTCTTGACAGGTGCATTTTGATATTAAAAGGAATCACAATATGTATTACTCCTGATGCTCCTGACTACGGGAGTCGTAATGCTGCAAGTGGAGTGGCTTTGTAGTTTACTAAAGTCGTACTAAGACACTCCAATAAATTCATATACAAGGCGCTCTGGATTATATTGCGCACAGTCATTTTCTGATTAAATGAAAAACTTTTAAGTGCACCCTATAGTGTGGAAAATACGGTGCTCCATGACATCACAAGGTGGAACAGAGCATTTAGAGCTGTGGAGATATAGACAGTTTAATAATGAAGAATCATGTGTGAATGAAACAAAAAAACAGAAGCTCAGCAGAGCCAGGCCTGGATAGTACTTGGATGGGAGACCGCTGGGAATATCAGATCACAAAAAACTGTTGTTGTGTCCTTAGGCAAGGCACTTCACCCACATTGCCTAGTATCAAAGTGGTGTATCTGTGAGTGATTGTGGTGGTCAGATTGGCAGTCTCACTTCTCAGTCTTGTCCAGGGCAGCTGTGACTACAATAATAGCTTGTCACTGCTGAGGGTGAAGGGTGATTTGCAAGGCCCAGTAAATAATGGAGAGCCTGACCACCCTGATCCTGATCTTTGAGGAGTTGAACCTCATTCCTTCTGACCAGCGTTTGAGAATGCCCTGGATCAGGACTCAGAGAGTGTGGACTTCCTTTATTTCTGACCCCATAACCAGGATGAATGCTCTTTTATAGCTGGTGATTACATCTCCTACAACTCCACTGTCGAGCTCAGCTGTAGTTTAGTGTATTATTGTCAAGTCAAAAAGCCCAGCCCCTGCACCAAGTCCTCACCTCCACTCCTGAGCCCTGTCTCCTCTCACCTCTACTCCCTCCTCTTCCTCTTCACCGCTCCTCCCCTCTCCTCCCCTTCCCTTTTTTTATGAGTTGATGAGGTTATTTTGAGGCTGGCCAGTAGATGACAACAAGAAAAAAAAAAATCAGGTAACCAGGTATGTCTCTGGAATCATTTAATTAGGCCCAGGCGCACAAACACAAACAGAACCAAACGAAGGAATGTGAGAGGAAACACAGAGACACTACTGGTGAGGACATTTACCTTTAAAATTAGTTTTAAGTTTAAAGGAAATAGTTAATGAATTCAATGTAACTTTGAAAATGCCAAAATAGAGCTAAGTTGAATAACTAAATTGTTTATTTATAAAGTAGTAAATCTGATTTATAGTAAATGATGTAAATTCTAAGTTAAAGTAGCTCTAGTTAAAAATATATATGTTATTTAGCAATAAAAAAACTATGTGTTTATTTATTAAAATTTGTTTTGAAATAATAAAATATTACTTTTCATGTAGTAATTTAAAACTGTATAAAAAGCAGGTTATATTTAGGATTAAAAATGTATTTGTAAAATGATAGATTGGTTAAAATTATAGCTATTTAAGTTCATGTACAAAATGTATACTAAATATTATAAATAAATACAACATATATATATATATATATATATATATATATATATATATATATATATATATATAAAGTGAAGTGTATTAATTAAAATTTAAATAGATTGTATAACTAATGAAATTGTAAAATGTAAATTTAATTTCATTGCACATTTGTTTACTTTGAAGGATTTCATACTACTACTACTACTACTACTACAAGAATCAAATTATTTCAATAAAAACTTCAAGCCGAGTTGAGCCTTGTGTCTGTTTCCCTGTTTTTTTGGGGTTTTTTTTCCAAGTTGGACCTGCATTCCGAAAGTAAACACTAAGTCGAAAACCAAGCGTTCAAGCACAAAGTGGAAAAAGGAAAAAGCTTAATCCAAGTGCTAAGGAGAACGCAAGAGGAAACATGGCTGAAGACAAGTCAATCAAACAGCTCAAAAAAAGAGCGCACTATTGCAAAAAGCCTCTTCACAAGACAAGCTAACATGGTCACAAGAGACTTGGACAGTGTGGTGCAAGAAGAGATATTGGATGAATTCAATAAACTATCTGAACGACTCACTGAACTTTTTGAATCTAATGACAATTACTTGGCTGCATTACTATGTGATGAAGTAAAAGAGGAAGACCCACAATTGTTTGAACAACAGGAAGAGATTGAAAAAACAGCCAAAGAAGCTGAATGAAAATTCAAACTCCTAAGAGAGACTGTGCAAGCAACCTTGTGGTCAAAATATGGGAAGATTGAAGTCCAAACATCAATCTTGGAAGCTGAAGAGATTGGAGAAAGGACATGTGATTTACCTATTCTCAGTATAAATGTGGAGAGTTATGGTGTTCATATGGATATTTTGGAGAAAAGACTCAAAGACACCACTGATTCAATGCTGACCTGGGAAAGATGGATTCCTGGAGAGGAGCGGAGGACTCTCAATGACAGAATTGCTGCATTAAAAACTCTGAAACTCAAACTTGAGCTAAGGAAGGCAGAGTTTGTGACTGCAAGGCGGGTTGCAGAGCAGACTGGGGAAGCAGCTACTGGTTTTAATGGGGGACCTGCAACACCTACTCCAGTAGTCCCAATCATGAAGATAAAGCCCACTTCACTGCCAAAATTCAGTGGAGACAAAAGAGACTTTTATAGATGGAAGAAGGACTGGGAAAATCTACAAAAGCAGGGTGAACCAACGGGGTCAGCTGAAGTCAGAAAAATCCAACTGCTAGACAGTGTGGAAGACAAACTTTTAAAGACCTGAGACTGTCATCTTACTCATCTTCTGAGGACATGTTCAGAGTGCTGGAAAACGGATATGGAAACAAATCAGCAATAGCTATTGAGATCCTTGAAGACCTTGATAAATTACCACCTGTGCGAGGAAATCAACCACGCAAAGTGATTGAGCTGATTCAAGCAGTGGAGAAAGCCCTTGCTGACCTGACAGATCTGAACAATGTTGGCGCAATTAAAAATCCACTTGTTGGGGGGTGGGCCGGCCTGGTCGAGGGGCGACCACATGCGGAGCCCTGGGGGTGGCCCCCGCACCCGCCTTGGGGGGCATGAGTGTGGCTTGGCCTGCTCCCACTTCAGTGGGGATCTGAGGCAAAATGCCAACACACACTTAACAAATTTTCAATACTCAAATTAAATAGCAATAATACAGGTCAACATTAAATCATCCGCATAGCCTGTCTATCCCCCCCGGCACACATACATACACACGCGTATACACACACATACACACACACATACACACACGCACGCATATACACACACACACACACACACACACAGACACACAGACACGCACATAAGGTTCACACTGTCACCAACCCCTGTCATCTTTGTTCCTATTTGTATGTAATGTTCAGTCGTAATGTCTGTCTTGTATCTTGTATGTCATTTGGTTCCTATTTGTTGTAATCTATGTAGTTTGCAAATAAAAATTATAAAAATAATATAAAAAAAAAAAAATCCACTTGTTATAAAAACAATTGAGAGTAAGATCCCCAACTTTGTGAAGCGTGACTAGCTCAGTTTCATGTTAGACCCCAGTAATGGAGTGGAATCTGATAACCACTTTGAAATGCTTCTCACATTCTTGAAAAAACAAGAGGGTGTACTAGAAAGGCTGGAACAACTCAGAGTTGTGGACAAAGCAGACTATACTACACGAAGACAAGAAAAGAAATATGCTACCACCAAAACTACAGAAAAAACTTGAGAGAACATGTGCCGTATGTGGTGAAGGAAAACATTTCAACAAGCTTTTCCTCTGTAGAAAGTTCAAATCACTGAGTGTTCCAGAGAAAAAGGTCACTCTGAGAAGACTTGGTGCAGGGGCTGGGCTTTTTGACTTGACAATTATTGAATTGTCTTTTATGTCTATTGTATGTCTGACACTGCTGCACAACTATTTCTCTCTGGGACAATAAGAAAGTAGAAAGTTGAGGTTGAGTGTGGAGTGAATGAATAATGGTCTGTGAAGCGTCTCTGGCTGTCCAGAAAACCGCTGTGTAAAACTGATGCATTATTATGATTATTAAAGCTCACAAGAGTCAGTCTGGTGTAATATGGACCTTTAAAGTTAAATGAAGTGTTTTGAGCAGCTTTACTGTCACAAGAGTTTGATGCACTGATGCTGATGGGAGATTTAAAAGCAGAGATGAAATGGAGTCTTGGGCCAGCTCCAGTTCCACAGTATATGTACACACTTCTGAACACTCTGACTGTACACACCACTACAGACCACACAGACTTAAGTCTTGACATATAAACTTTGGATTTGGGAGCATAAATGTAAAAAAAATGAAGTGGTACCTGAACAGTTTTTGTTTAGTGTCTTCATCTAACCTGGCTCAGATTTGTGTAGCTGTCTGAATTAAGTTGTACACATGAATCTGTAATGACTCTAACGCAAAGTGGAACCACTGACCAGAACATTCAAACAAATACACTTCAGCCTATGAGAGTGAAGTAACAGCGAAACAAGCCAAAAAGTCAAACTATTGTTAAATCTTCCCTTTCTACACATACACAATGCACCTTCAGCACGTTTTTCACAGACTAAATAGTCTGTATTTTCAAAATAGGCTAAAGTACATCTGTTAGTGTCACTATGTTCACTTTGGTTCATTTGGTGCTGCCTTTTGCCTGAACCACAGGGCTGCTCTGTGATTGGTCAGTTCTATCAGGACCATCACAAGTGAACGCTTCAACTGGAGCCTCACAAGATGGAGAATTCATCTTGCTGGTTACTCTAAAATTTCAAATAACCTTGCCTTTGCTTAACCATCATGTGCTTGTCCTCCCCCAGACTCCTCCCCCAGCCCCGTGAAGAGCTCCCCAGACTCCTCCCCCCTCACCTCGCCCCGGCAGAGACGTGACTCGGATCGGTACTGCCAGCTGTGCAACGCCTGGTTCAACAACCCGGGCATGGCCCAGCAGCACTACGACGGCAAGAAGCACAACAAGAATGCAGCCCGCGCAGACCTGCTCGAGCAGCTGGGCCAGACCCTGGACGTGGGACAGATGAAGGGTGAGCTCACTGCGGGACTTATCCACATACTGTACACAGTACAGGGGTTGGGAGAGCCACATTGGTCTGGGGTTGGGAGTAGGGATGGGCATGATTCATCGATTAATCGATAATTGATCGTTAAGAATTTCATCGATTACCTTAATTTTAAAACCGAATGTAGGTTGCTGTGTGTAGTGTGACCAAACAGGTGTGTACATGTGTCTCTCTGCATCAGAAGGAGCAAGACACAAACAGTGGGTCAGTCTGCAATGTACTGAAGCACAAATGTGTATTTAACGATGATTTGTACAAGAAATTCCACACTTTCTGTTGCGTTCAGGACAAGTGTGAGTCCATGTGCACAGTGTATAAAGCAGCACATATGTTTCTGTGTCCAGTGGGAAAAAGTTTTGCCAGTTGAGAGTCGCGCAATGTCGATGACGAGTCCCCACCTCCCACCTCCCATATGGTGTCCTGGTTTTGACAAACACAAATCTGGTCACACTAACCTGTATTCCACTGAGTCATGTCTTTTAATCAAACAGAAATTGACCACATCAGCGACACAAGAGCTGTAGTTTTATCTTCGCTTAGTTTATGCAAATTAGCGATGTGGTTTTAAGTTTTGTTTCTGTGAGAGTTGAACAAAACTGAATTAAACACATTATAATGTCAAACGGGCTGATGTGGCTCTAGAGTCGTTACAGTTTATATGTCGTAAAGTTGAATTTATTTCTGCAGATTAGTAGTGCAGATAGTAATAATAATGATGATCATTTTAATATAAAAACGTTAATGATTAATCGATAATCGATCGTTAATTCTTCCGACGATCGATTAAGAAAATTTCATTGAATGTCCATCCCTAGTTGGGAGAGCCACGCTGGTCTGGGGTTGGGAGAGCCACATTGGTATTGTTTGGGAGAGCCATGCTGGTCTGGCAGAGCCACTCTGGTTTTGGAGAGCCACGTTGTTCTGGGGTTGGGAGAGCCACGTTGTTCTGGGTTTCCATGCTTCTAGGCGACATTACCCAGCGCTCATTTCCTCCAGACTGAGCCAAACTTCTTTGAGACATATGTGGTGTCATCTGGTTCTTTGTATGAAATGACACAAAGCAGATCATTTGACATCGTGACTGTAAAATGAAATATTCCTCTCAAACAGCAGAGGAATAGAAATGGGACGTGTGACTTCTGTTCCACATTCATAAAGCAGCAGGTTTTCACTGACCGACTTAAACGCCTCTAAACATTGATCCATTTATCGGTGCACAAAGCCCCCACCACCTACAACCACCTACAAACACTACATATCAGATCTGTGGAGAGGTGAACCTGCCAACTGTAAAAATGTATTTGTCATTTGTTCTTCCATTAAAAACACATATGGAATAAATGCATGACAGACGCGTTTAATGCCCTTCTCTCTGTGTCTGGGTCTGTGTATGCATGTTCTCTCTGCGTCTGGGTCTGTGTATGCATGTTCTCTCTCTGTCTGGGTCGGTCATGTGTCTGGGTCTGTGTGTGTTCTCTCTGTGTCTGGGTCGTGTGTGTGCGTGTTCTCTCTGTGTCTGGGTCAGTGTGTGCGTGTTCTCTCTGTGTCTGGGTCAGTGTGTGCGTGTTCTCTCTGTGTCTGGGTCAGTGTGTGCGTGTTCTCTCTGTGTCTGGGTCGGTGTGTGCGTGTTCTCTCTGTCTGGGTCGGAGTGTGCGTGTTCTCTCTGTGTCTGGGTCAGTGTGTGCGTGTTCTCTCTGTGTCTGGGTCAGTGTGTGCGTGTTCTCTCTGTGTCTGGGTCAGTGTGTGCGTGTTCTGTCTCTGTGTCTGGTCTGGTGTGTGCATGTTCTCTCTCTGTCTGGGTCTGTGTGTGCGTGTTCTCTCTCTGTGTCTGGGTCAGTGTGTGCGTGTTCTCTCTGTGTCTGGGTCAGTGTGTGCAGTGTTCTCTCTGTGTCTGGGTCAGTGTGTGCGTGTTCTCTCTGTGTCTGGGTGGTGTGTGCACGTTCTCCCTGTTAAACTTGAACTTCTTGGGTTCTTTTTAAAGACGATACAGTGAAGTGTATTGTCCTTGTTGACATCTTCAGAAGTGTCCCTGGTGTTGGTGGTGATGTGTCGTATATCAGCTGTTGTTACTTCCTGTGGGCGTGGTCAGCTGTTGTTACTTCCTGTAGGCGTGGTCAGCCTGATGGACCTGCAGGTCGCTCAGACTGACCACGCCTCCCATCGCCTGGTGTTCTCTGGAGGAGGGTGTCCCAGGTGTGTGAAAGGAACGTCACATTCAAACGCTGGATCAAGGAGGCCATTGAAATCAGGAAACAAGGCACTGACAGTATTAACTGATGACAGAGCGTTCAGGTTGACCACGCCTACAGGAAGTAACAACAGCTGATATACGACACATCACCACCAACACCAGGGACACTTCTGAAGATGCAGCAGCAGCCAAAACTTGTCAACAAAGTAAATACACTTTATTATATTGTCCTTAAAAAGAACAATACAATAAAGTGCATAAGAAGACAAAATGAACATCTATGGCTTAATGTTCTTCCTGTGTCTGTCTGTGTGTGCATGTTCTCCATGTGTCTGGGTGGGTTTTCTCTGGGTTCTATCAACCCAAAACATGCACCACAGATCTAAACCTCCACATAAAGTCCTGACCAAGTCTAGATCAAGATCTGGAGGTGTTTCCACTGCGCTGACACAGCGCCTCAAAGGACGTCTTAACTTCCGTACCTTAACTTACCTTAAAAGGGCCCATATTATGGTATTTTTGGATCAGTGTTTTAATGTTGTTTCCTCATCACAAACATACCTGGAGTTGTGTTTTGTTTCATTCACATGTTTAAGACACAAACCCTGCATATTTAGGCTGAGCTTTTCTCTCAAACAAAAACACACTTTGTTGTGTTTTTAAACTCCATACACCTTCAATAGAATCATTTGGGTAATTTCAGACCAAGAACTGCCAATCTCTACTGAACTGAAGCTAAAAGGGAGTTCTTAACTTGAAAGCTGACACTTCATGACAACACATGACCCCCCCCCCTTTTTGCAGAGTCAAGCTCCGATAGACGGTTTTACGTAGGACCGCTCGTGTGTCCTGTTTCCCCCAACATCTGAACGGTTTCCCAGCTAGTACGTTCGAGGGTGCACTTACCAGAAGCAGCCTCCGCACCGTTCTGTGGTTCGGGGGCCAAACCGAGGCACTTCCTGATTGTGCTTTAAATAGCGCATAGTGGGGGGACGTGATCGTGGACGCGGCCATTCTGGTCTATTTGGGGTATTATTTTGGGTTTTTGAGTTATTTAATGGAATTTATGTTAACCTTATGATTGGTTCTTTAAGTTATTTTTATTATGTTTATTTCCAAATTGATTTGTGTTCATCAATACAATTTGCTTATGTTAATTCCTTTAAAACCCCATTTTTCATTAATTGGTTAGCCCGGGGGGAGGGGCTAAGGGGTATAAGAGGAGGGAGCTCCAGTCATTTGGGAGTCTGTTTTTGGCCTGACTACGTGGGTGCTGCTACTGTAAATGTGATTATTGTAAATATTGTTGTAAATACTTCTTTTTTTGTTGAACTCTATCACCTCATTGTTCCTCTGTAAATATTCCACTCTGCACTTTGGGCTGTGGTGTGAATAAAAAAACACTTAAGTGAAGTTTTTCGACTGAGCCATCTTTTTTTTTTACATTTCAGACGAACCCGTGACAGTCACTCAAATATGTGTGAATGAAACTAAACTCTAGTTATGTTTTTGACAAAGCAACAACATTCTGAGACGACTTAAAACTCACTAGTCCATTTTGCGTAATATCTGACCTTCGTGGAGACTCTAAAATAGGGACAAAGCTGCGAAATCAAACGCCAACATCACTCTTTACGATACAAAACTTTACTCGTACGGACCACTTTTACCTCTATAAAAACAAGTTATTTTCCAACATTTAAGCGGTTTGTTGTACTCATAATTGCCTCTCCTTAATCTCAGTGCTGTGTCAGAGCTGCTCTTCGGGCCCTCCCCGTGGACTCCTGTAGCGTTGTCACAAGCTGTTAATTTTACAAGCTCCGCTCCTGTCTCCCGGTCGCAAAATGTCGATAACAATTATACGATATTAGTGAAGGAATGCAGAGGAGAGGCGGGGAGGGAGGGAGCGGGCGGACAGAAGAGCACTCGGGCCCCGGGGTGCTGCTGCGGGAGGGCATCTGAGCGTGACGGGAAGCGGTGCCAGACCTGCCCCGAGCCGTGCCAGTGGTTGCCCAAGCGGAAAAGCTGAAAGTGTGAGAGAGATAGAGCGGGAATCGTTAGGGTTGGATTGTAAATGGTGGCAGTGCAGAGAACTGGTGTTCAATGAGCCGTGAGAAGTTACGGTGGCCCACGTAGGACATTTTGCTATATATTTTTTCATTACTGTTATGATTTTTGCTTTGAGTCATAGTTGAAATGATTAGAGGCGACTAGTACCAGTAGTGTTGTAGTCAAGACTGGACTAATCTTGACCAAGACCAGTCCAAGACCAGAGTCCCAAGACCAGGACAAGACCAAGACCTCTGACTGTCAAGACCAGGACGAGAATGAGACCACAGCCCCTCGAGACCAAATCAAGACCCTCTTTGCCATTTTGAACATGTATTTGTATTTTACAGTTATTTTGGCACATGTATATCCAATGTTGGGAAGGTTACTTTTAAATGTATTCCCCTACAGATTACAGATTACATACCCCAAAGTGTAGTTTCTAACCTAATCCATTAAATTAAAGTGAGTAATCTGAATACTTTGGATTATTTAATATTCTCATGCTTTTTCAAACTACATGAACGTACCAACCACATCCTGCAAATCCTCCATACAGTTGTTTGTTGTAGAGAAGCAATGACTAGGATCTTAATATAAGATGTTTTATCTGCTAAAAGAAAATAAAAAGCCCAGTCTTTCCTTAACCGTATTTAAAAATATTATTGATAGAGAAATGATTTTTATGAGATCACTGCTGCCTTAAAGTATGTCCACCTACTGT